AGAATGAACACTTTAATTAAAGCCGAATTACAAAGACTAAATGCTCTCTATAACCAGAAGTTTCTCTCATGTAAATCCTCATCTAATATGTGGAAGCTATTAGAGGAAATCACGGGTGGTAAGCAAATAATGAATGATACTTCCGTTGATGTTGATATGCTTAACAAATCCTTCATATGTATCCCTGCAGATGTTATGATTCCCAAATCTAATAGTATAAATAATGACTGCTTCTCATGTTTTAACACAAATGATGTCCTCAAGTGTCTTCAATCTCTCAAACCTACCCAGTCCCTTGGTCCTGATGGAGTTCCTGCTGTTATTCTTAAGAAGTGTGCTGACATCTTATGTTACCCATTAACCGACATTTTCAATGAATCTTTTTCCAAAAGTATTATTCCTGACTCATGGAAAAATATGAAGGTTGTTCCAGTGCCCAAATCAACAAGTGGACCTACTGTCAAGTTTAGACCCATTGCTATTACCTCACCTTTTTTAAAAGTTATGGAAAGACTTATTTTACTTAATCTTGAACCCTCTTTAAAGCCTTTTAATGACCCCAACCAGTTTGCCTATAAACATATTAGGTGTACCTTAGATGCCGCTGTAGTTCTATATCATAATATAGACTCTAGTTTAGATAGAGGAGCCAAATATGTTCGGTGTGCCTTCCTTGATTTCACATCTGCATTTGACTCTGTACCTAGGTCTCTCTTGTTAAGTAAGCTTGCTGCAACACAGAGTGAGAGCTGGATAAATAAGTGGTTGTATTCCTACTTTTCTGATAGGAAGCAGTACACTGTCTACAATGGAAAGTCCTCCACTACCTCAATTACTTTAGCTGGTGTTCCTCAAGGTGCTGTTCTTTCTCCTTTTCTGTTTTCTTTTTTCTTACATGACTTGCCCCATTCTGATGTAGCAAATTTTGTCAAGTATGCTGATGACCTCTCTGTCTCCATGCCTGTCAACTCTCAGTCAGACTGTTCCATATTAAATAACTTTCTCTCGGAAATTAGTCAGTGGTCCTCTTCAAGCGGTCTTAAGCTGAATCCGTCTAAATGTCAGGTAGTAAACTTTAATTTCAGACGAAAAAGTGACCTTCAACAACTAGCTAGCTCACACGGTCCCACTATCATTGACTGCAGAGAGGTTGAAACTACATCTAATGTCAAGTACCTTGGACTGAATATTTCCTCCGATCTTTCCTGGTCCTCTCACATCTTGTTAGTGACTAGAAAGCTGTTTCGCTTAACGTTCTACGTTAGGAAGTTTAGGCAGTCTGGTATAAAGCAGTCTTTGCTTTCTCAGTTTGTCAATTCCTGTATTCTACCCATCCTTCTTTACTGCTCCCCATTAATCTTCCCTGGGCTACTTAAGAAAGACTTTGCTTCGCTGCATAGGGCACTAAAAGCTGTTAGTAGGGCAAGTGGGATTTCGTTAAACCAACTGGTTAACACAATTGTGGATAGACATATAATGTCATGTAAGAGACTAGCGAATTCTATATTGTCAGACCCCGAACACCCTCTCCACACACAGCTCTCTCCTTGCATTTCATCTGGTAGAACTAGAAGCAACTATAGGAAGCTATATGCCAGGACTACCAAGTATAAAAACTCCACAATACCTTATCTGGCACAGCTGTTATGTGATGAGAAGACTGTTAGGCACGACACGATCAACTTACTGCGGCATTCTAACAAATAGTTCCCATTAGCTTTTGTTCTCCTTTCTTTGTTACTATTATATTGTTGCTCATATATTCTATTTACAGACCAATCTTATATATCATATCCTGTGGAGCATTGTTTAAAATATGTGAATGCATTGCTGTTCTTTTTTTATTTCTTTTATTTCTCTTTTTGTTGTTGTTGCTTTATATTTTTAAATCCTTATAAAATTTATGAGGTAATTAGATGCAATATTGTAATGAACGCTGAAAATTCCATACCTGTACCACAAATACTGTTTGGAATAAAGCCATTATTATTATTAAAGTGACATCTCAGTGTGTCAAACTAAACAGGACCGTTGTATACAAAAACACATTCTGTCAAACAATGCAATGAAATAATGGGGAGCTATTCATAATCGATGCAGTAAATCGGTAACTAAATTAATCCTGCGGAATACATATCAGCCATTGGAAACTTTCAAAAGCCTGACTACTGAACAAAGAATATTCACTTCGATAACCTCCTCCTCCTCCTCTTCATCAGGTTCTCCACCTATATCCATCCATCCATCCATAATAATGGTGATAGAAGAATTGGGAATATTATCAACAGCATTAATTTTACTCACATAACATCGAATCAGTGAGTAATATGAATAGATTACAGTCCACTAAAGCATCTGTAAGTGTGTTAATATGCATCAACATAACATAACATAACATAAGACGACACTGAAGAATATCAAACAGACAAATTAGGAAGAATAATGATAATACGAGATTTATGAATTTCTATGCTCCACAGAGAAGGCCAGGGCTGTGACAGTGGCTGGCTGGCTGGCTGGACGGGCCTGTTTCTTCTGCAAACACAAACACAGAGCACTAGGTGTTTTAGGCGAACGGCT